GGGGCAGTGGTTGATCCTGTCTTAACCAGACATTCAAATAAACACACACTAACCAGCTGGGTGAGGGGCTATACTGGATAGTGATCAAGAGTGGAAACCCTGGTTGAGATTTCAAATCCCACAGCCCAAGGGCACTGAGGTCAACTGCATCGCCTCCTACTGTATGAGATCAACACAGTGTGGTTTGGGCATCAACCCTGAGAGCATCTGGATATGTGCTGTTCCATACTAAGCAATGACTTCACGCATTCAGTTACCCTAGAGTAAAATATTTTAGCCCCCGAATCGCATAGACTTGGAGGTTAATTGGTTTTGCTTTAAATGTGGCACATTGTCCCTTTAACAACTGTACGCCACCCGCTTCCCCTCCCAGCGATTCTCAGTAATTCAAACACTCATCCTTCATCCCTGTCGCGCATACTTACGAGTTTCACAAAAAGATTTATCACGTCCCAAGTGTTTAGTCTGAAAGCTGTGGGCCATGAGTGTCAGAGTTGATCTTGTTTCCACTCTCCACCCCCAGCGAGAACCATTCTGGCAGTAAGCCACCTGGACCAATGCTGAGCATCTCCATTAGTGAGATTGCAATCTATTAACTAAAGTCAACCGAACATTCCTTTTCTCATAAGCATAGCTCAGCTACAATCATGGGAAAGACAGAGAGCGAAAGAAAAGGATTCAGGCAGGAAGAGGAGAGGCTAAACACGCCACTGATGTGCTCAACCGCTATTCTTCCCAAGTGGGCAGTCGGTCGCAGATTTCAAACAAGGCTTTTTTTTTGCCAATTTGAATCTTCATGCAATGCTATCACAGTGTCTTCCCCAGGCTTCTAGTAGGTTCAATGGCACGGGCTTGGGAAGAAGGTTGTAACACAAACAACTTATGAGGAAGGGAAAGAATGAGGAAGAAAGACACAGCATAAATAGAGGGAGTGGAAAAAATAAAGGACATCAGTAGTCTTACCACATAGACACCAAAGAACAAATTGCAGCACATCAGAGATTTGGGGGGGTGGGGGAAGGAGGATTAAAGTTAAAGTGAATATCGAGCATCTGTTCAAGGCTGGTGTCACTTCTCATAACCCCTCATATGGCAGTACTCTGACTTTTACCCAGTTAATACTTGCACATTATTGCCCTCGGAACATTCCCGACTTGGTTCTAATGAGTTTAAGAGCTGCTTTTGGTGTGTGTGAGGCCATTGCGAGAGCACATTGTAGTCTTGTGTAGATTCGTATGTTAGAAACTGTAAAAATGTGCACTGTGGGCATCTGAAAAAAGCGGATGCATGAAAGAGTATAAAAGAGCATAAAAATGTGCGGAGGAAAAGCACACGAAGGGCAGGAAGAAAAGGAGAGCCGAGGTCAGTTATGTCAGCGAGGTCCAGGGAGTTCTGCTCGCCCACCCCGGATCCCAGAGCAACACTCACGGCCGGGTAGGTCAAATCTGTTAGGGATCGCTGAGTTGGAGGGATGGTCGAGGCCATGGTAAGGGCTGAGGCAATGTTAGGAGCAGGTCACATCAGAGGCAGGCAAAGGCAGGAAGCGCAGAAAGGGGGATAGTGATAGCTTGTCCTGGGAGCTGCTGCCTTTCTGCAGCAGGAAAGTTTCAAGCATACCCAGGAGAAAATTTATGATTTAGGTAAGAAATAGATGCAGTACAGATAAGTCCCAAACAGTTGTTTAAAAATAAAGAGTTACAAGAGGCAATTGTTAAAGAGTAAAGAAATACAAAGGAAGTACTTTTAAAGTTTGAAGAAATACAATGGTTTAAGAATCAAGAATTGTAAGAGGCACGTCAATGAATAGACAAGAGGTATAAAGAAAGGATAGTTGTTTCTGATTCCCTGGCTCTTGATTATAAACTTGAAACGCAAGGCAGGGAGGTCGGTCACACCAAATATCTTCACAACACCTGACCCCACATCTCACCAGTTCTGGCCAGGCTCCACTGGCTCCCCATCACTGATCAAATTGACTTCAAGATCCTCTCTCTCGTGTTCAAATCCATTCACGCCCTGGCACCTCCCTAACTCTCCGACCTCCTCATTCCCCAATCCACCACCAGGCGCCTCTGCTAGACTGGCACCGGCCTCCTGCTCGTCCCTCGCACACTCCACCCCATCATCGGAGGTTGTGCTTTCAGCCACTATGCCCCCAAATTTTGGAATACTCTCCCTCAATCCCTCCGCCTTGCCCCCTCTCTCCCCTCTTTCAAGTCCCACCTGAAGACTTTCCTGTTCGACCGTGCTTACAGCCACCTTCGCCCTCCCCCCGACTTGGGAGTCAGGCTCCGCCACTGTTAAGCGCTCTGAGTCGCTGCCCTGAGTGGAGGGCGCTACATAAGTGCAAGTTGTTGTTGTTGCTCGAGCTTACCTTCCTGAAAGACTATCTGCTGATGGCTTATCAATTGCATCTCAGTCTGCGTAATCATCTTTCTAACTATCCTTTTAATCTCCTTTTTTTCTTGTCTCATCTTAATAGGGTCTCCCTCTCCCCATACGGGAGCTTCCCAGTTATACTCTTATTTCTGCAAAAGGTTCGTCAACTACAAATCACCTACTGTGGATTCCCAGCAATTTCTGGTTTTATCTCAGATTTCTACTTCTATCTTGGCAAAATGTACAATGCAGCAGCGTGAGCAGCAAATGAAACTGCAATGATCTCCCCATCACTTCCCAAGCATGTTACGAGACTGAAATAAAGAGGGGCACTGCTTCTCACTCTGCCAACGCACGATTTGCCAACCATTTTTTCATAAAGACAGTGCTCTCTTAAGGACGTTCAGTAGGGCATTACCGCCTCTTGTCTGACTAGTTGGGAAAGAATGGTTAGAGACTTGATACCTTCCTCTGGGTACTCTTATCTCTTATGTCTAACTACTCCCCCTTATCACACTACTCCCCCTTGTATTGCGAGCTTCTCATTTCCTCAGCTAGTTCTTTGGTACACTCCCCTTTCATTCACAACTGTTGAAATGATCATGGAGACGATTTATAATTCAGGCAGGTTTATCTCATTCAGGGGAGTTTTAATAAGCTACTGGGCAATCTGTCAACCAGCAACCTGATGTTCTGAGGCTGCTGAAACTGTTGGGTTGGGAATGGGGATTCAGCCCAAATGCATTGAGAGTTTACAGGAGAGAGGTCCTTAAGATTCTGCAGGGAAGAGTTACATGGAAAAGTGAGAGGGAGGAAAGGTCATTTTAAAAATAAGTCTAACAATGAGGGAACAGTCAACAACATCTTACATTTATACAGTGCCCTTTCAGGTCGCGTGACATCTGAGTGTTTCACAATGTCAGAGATAGATGCTGAGCAGGGGAGAGGAACCATAGGCGCAGTTAGAGTTAGGTTTTAAGGCAGGACGTGAAAGCAGAAGGGGGATGGGGGGCAGAGCGAAACAGAGGGTAGAAGTTCAGAAGACTACGGGGCATAGTCTATGGGAGTTGGAAAGGTCTACGAAGGATATGGGAAAATGAGCAGGTAATGGGTTTCGTGTGGCGAAATAAACACTAGTGTAGACCTGGTTAGTCAAATGGCTCCTCTCTCTGCACTGTAATATTCTATGTCTCGATTCTCTGACCATCATGTTTGGCTTCAAAACCCCTTCAACCATTACTCAACCTCCCAAATAAAGGTGCAAGCAGCCAAGAGGAGCCATTTTCACTGCCATTGTCTGGGCTTGACTGCCCATCTCATCGATGTGATCAGCATTCAATGTTTGAAACAAAAGCAGTGTTAAAAAACAAGCGAATGCCGGGGTGGTGGTGAGAGGGGGGGGTGGGTGGGAGGACGAAAGGGGGTGACAAAAGGACCTAATTCTTAATCAACCACATACCCGCGAAACACACAGTCGCTACACAGTAAATTATAATAATAATAATAATAATCCTTGCATTTGATATAGTGCTTTTCACGTCGGGGGGACGTCCCAAAGCGCTTCACAGAACACACTGTAAAGTGAATTGACTGTATATTTGTGGGCGAACGCGGCAGCCAATTGTGCACAGCAGTGTCCCACAAACAGTCGTAGATTGAAAATGACCAATTTAATTATTGTTTTTGGTTTTTGGATTGAAGCGATTCAAGATGTGTCACCTAAAGGTGCTATTTCAACACCATGAAACATCCTCCTGACATGAACTACGCTATATAAATGTAATTTGTTGTTGTTATTGTATACCAAACGTACGGATTGCAAACTGTTTGCCCTTTGACTGAAACTGCCGCCAGTGATCTTCGCTCTGTAAAGGTGACTGGGACGGAGAGATCCCTGATCAGATTACAGCAATCAAAATACAGTAGTAAAAAGAGAATTAAAAACTAATGATGCTGATCTTTTGTCTAGACAAGGTGGAATTCTTTCGACAAATATAGCTCACTGAATAGTTCCGCAGCACATTTGTGGAATGTGAAATACAATACTTTGCGGTGAATCTAAATCCGCTCCCTTTCTCGGGTTCTCGCTGACAGAACTAATCCTTGCAACAATGTCACTTTCCAGAGAGCATTCTCTTCTCTCTCTCCCCTCAATGTACCCCCACCACTGAGAAAGTTGGTGAAAGGAAGCGAAGTTTATACTGCTGTGTTAGGGACATTTTAAAGGCAAATGACCGAATTGAAACAGTAAAGAGTGATCTTTGCTGTATCTGATCTGAAAATGTCAACAGCCCAGGTACAAAAGCACAGAAAAGGGCTTCCATCAATGATGAGCACAAAATTCACATAAAACTGAAGATGAAAAGACTGAGGCACTGAACATGCACCGAGCACCAAAAATAGTCATTTTATCTCATTCATAATGGCACCACTAACAGGAAACTGAGAGCATCACAAACAGGAAACTGAGAGCATGCTACATTTATAGATTGGTAAAACAACAGAGCCCAGAGATTCACAAGATCACAGAGAGAGAGAGAGATTCGGTTGAAGAAAGCCCTTGGAGCCAATTTGATCTTGTCCTTCCAGAACCTCCCTCCCATTACAGCAACACTCTGTACCTTGTGATTCTTCCCTTGTCGATAGGTCATCCAGTCCTCGCCGTTGGTGCTCACTTCCAGCCTGTAGGTTTTGATGTAGTATATTTTAGCGGTGTCCACTGAAACGGCACCCTGAGTGGCAATACCGGTCAGAGTCTTCAAAAATCCCAAATCCACCTGCAGGAAAGGGGAGAGAGTGAGTGGAGAAAAACACTTAAAAATAAAACAATTTCAAAAGTCAATACAAACCACAGTTTTTGTTCTGAACATGAAATTTAAGGTCAGATAATTGAGCGGGGACGGGATGGAGAGAGGAGGTAAGGCAGCTGGTAAAAAATACCAGCTTCCCCCAGACCTTGCCACATTGGCACTAACAAACATAGGTCTGAAACACACCTTAACTGAAGATAATTACAAAACTTACATTTGATAGAGCACCTTATCATGTCATCATAACACATCAAAACACATCACAGGGTTTACTGTAAATCTATATTTTGTAGGTGAACATGGAAGGTAATTTGCACACAACAATATCCCACAAACAGCCATGAAGTGAATAACCAATTTTGTATGGGGGATTGTCGGCTAGGACACCGGGAGAAATTCATTTTTCTTTGCCATGGGATTGTTTAAATCCACCTGTACAGGCAAGTGGGAGTTTGGATTAAAATCTCATTCAAGGAACAGACCTTTGACAGTGTCACATCCCCAACATCATTACATTGGAGAATCAGCCTAGAATATATGAAGTCCTGATGTGGGACTTTATAAACCACAGACTCACAAGTGTTACCAATTGAACCAAGGTGACACCTCAAGTGTGATCAAAGCAACATTGACAGCAGCCTGTCAACTCCTCCTCGAATTAGTCTGTAGTAACTTTACACTGAACTTTACATCAACACCACACACACAAACGGCAGCAGGGAGGTCTCTTGGCTTGTGAATAGGTTCAAGAACTTTGGTTGAAATTACTTCCCTAACGCAGGGCCAATTGTAACACTACAGAATCACCCACATGCACCGCAGCCCCTGCTGACATCAGCTAACTCAGCACAGACCAAACTTATAACTTTCTGCTCTTTGTCTTCAAGCACTTTAGCCATCAGGAGTGCTAGCGTTATTTCTAACGACAGTGTACTGACATATAAATGAAAGCTAACTTCTTATTCCATAAGCCTTGTGACTTTCAATGTTGCAAGCAGCTACCGCAGGAAGCCTGCCTTTGTAGCAAGATGCAGCAGGAAGAAATTTAGTGAAGGAGGTTCAATTTCGCACCATTTAGGTTCACATTGCAAATGATCGTTCCTAATCCACTCAGGCCAGAGGTCCAAGAGGACATCTTGCCTGGCCCGAGGATACCCAGTGAAGCACAGACCCACTGCAGCCTGGTAAAGAGATGATGATGGTACTGGTGGAGGGGGCAGGGGTAGAGAGCGAAGCGAAGAACGAAGGAGGAAAACTTGAAGTGTTCATCTATACACACAGAAATTCACAGTTACTTCACTTCACAGTATTTCCTGTGAAGTGTTTTGGGACATCCTTGCGATGTAAAAGGCGCTATATCAAATTATTATTGAATGAATGAAAGCTGCTGGGACATGCCTGCCTGACGCAACAACTGTTTTTGGCCCAGGACGTTATTAATGAGGATAAAATCGATAAGAGAGCAAATTTATCTGCACAATTTGGTCACTTTAAAAGCTGCCATCAATCTAACACCGGTTGGAGCAAACCCCACTGTCTGGCATTATTGAACGGCTAATGAAAGTGGATCAATGTTAATTCAGATCCAGTTTTGCAGCTAAAAATATCCCAGGATACTGGAGCTTCCCTCCCAAGCCAGATGGAAATTCTGGACATTTTATTAGGACAATGTAACCCTTGGCCTTTCTCAACACTGAAAGTCAACAGTTTGAATTTATGATTCTTCATTCCCAGAATATTTGACATTAGAGATGTTTTAATGTGCTGTTTGTTACAGTAGGATTGGGGATGAGTAGGCCTGGGCTCTCCTACCTCACGATTCCCCATATGGCAGGTTACTGGCACGAGGAATTAAGAGCATCCGAAGCATGTACGAGTAATTTCAGACTTCCGGTTGCAGCTCCTGATTCCAGTTCACGTACCTGAATCCATTCCCTGGAATTGTCGTCGTTGGGTGTCCAGCCGTTGGTTGGATAGTTAAGCCGTGCCTGGTGTGGTTCCCAGTTTCCCAGGGTATACGAGGATGAGGCAGTGATCTGCATATTGCTGATCTCCCGGGACTCCATTCCCAGTGGAGCATTGCACTGATAGGCTGGGAACACATGGCAAACATTAAACAGCTGTAACATTGTTCTGTCTGTTTGTCTAAAGTCAGTCTATAATAACTATCTCGACTGGCTAACAGTGCAGCACCTTACACAAACAGGATAACCCATGTTAATTAGTGATAGTTTTGGGCATTAAATACAAACAAAAAAGGCTGGCTTTTGGGTTGTTAGATCCTTGCTGACATCACTTTCTACAGATGATAGCATTTTCTGCACAGAGGAAGTAACAAGTGTGGGAAGCCAGGCAGTCAGTAATACGTGAACCCTCCCCTAAATCGAGGAGCGGGGTAACAGTATAACATCTCTGTATATAGGTCTCACAGAGGATGAACATGTGAAAGCACTCTGAAACCTACGAGGATCATGGAGTATTGAGAGAAAGAAGGGAAATTTAAAGGCGTTGTCCAAAGGCACGGTTGAAGAGAGAAGGTGAAGGCCGAGGGGATTTGGGAAAGAAGTTTCAAAGAGCTGGGACACACAACAACAACAACAAAATAACATTTGTCAACCACAATGAGATGGGAAGCAGTGACAAATAGCCAAGCGGACCAGAGTGGAAGCAAATGTGGGTGCAGAGTTGGGCTGGAGGAGATTGTAGAAGTGGGCTGGGGAAGGGTATGAGGGAATTAAATGTCAGGATCTTTTAAGCTGATTTGCTGGAGACCCAGTGGGGTCTGACAAGGGTGTTGGTAATGGCCGTTCAGAGGCTGGTGCAGGAGAGAATGAGGGCTGTGGACTTGGGATCTCGGATACGTGTCAATACATTACATACAGGGAGTTTTGTGGCTTTGTGACTCTTTTTCTAATATAAACATCAGGTAACAGTTATTAGCCACCAAGAATTCCTTGAGCTGGTGCTGGACAATTACTACTACACTACTAATTACTACTAAGCCACTTTACTAAGCCAGTCCGGAACCTTGGGTCTTGTTTGACCCTCAACTATCCTTTCTACCCCACATCTGTGCCATCACCTGCTCTGCCTTCCGCCACCTCCGCAACATCGCCCGGCTCCACCACTGTCTCACACCGAAACCCTCATACTTGCATTCATAACATCAAGGCTTGATTATACAAACTCATTGATTGTCACATAGAGGATACAATTCAAGATCCTGGTCCTCACCTTCAAAGCTCTCCATGGCCTTGATCCCCCCTACCTCTGCGACCTCCTAACCCCCTACCATCCTGCCCGCTCCTTCCGCACAGCGGGCTCCGGCCTGCTTCATGATCCCCTGTCTCGCAGGCTTCACCATTGGCAGGTGGGCCTTCTGCCACTCTGCCCCCACCCTCTGGAACTCCATCCTACAGTCCCTCCACCTCGCCCCCTCCCTTGCCTCTTTCAAGACCCACCTCAAGGCCCTCCTCTTCGACCATGCTTTTGATCGCTCTGCTTCCCCCTTCTGCCCTCCACCCTCCCCAATCTCAAACACCAACTCGGGTCCGAAACACCGACTGTCCAATGCCTTGGAACGTCCTCCCGACATGAAAGACTCTATACAAATGTCATTTTGTTGTTGTCGTTGTTGTTCTCCAGCTAACGGGGAGCGAGGTTAGCATATAATGGGCAATCCAACACATTTTAGTGTCAATTACACTTCAGCTCTGTGGTAGGTACATGCAATGGAATGAGGATTGTTACTGTGCTCTGTCTTATCGTGCCCAGAGAGAGATCATTTGGTCTGAGCTGGACATCGCCCTGGTTCCCAGAGGTGAAAATGGTCAAGAGTTACAACAATCCTCTCATGGCTGTCCGGCACCTTTCATATTTCCTACTTACACTCTGTTGCTTCTTTCTGTGCGATGTTGTACTGGGCAGAGAAGCCATCTTTAGCGACCGCCATGTCCGTGTGGAAAATGAGCGACAGGATTCCCGTGCCGGAGCGGATGACAGGCAAGATCGTCACGCCACAATATCGTCCAATCAGAGGGCCAACTGCTCAGCAAATTGCAGAAAGATAAATCAGTGAGGTTGTAACAGTTTCTAAAACGCATGTCCCTGAATCCTTCCAACCCTCCGTGATGGTAATCTTAATGCTTTAAAAGGTGTTGATTCCCCAAAATTCCACCTAGTTCTTAGCCTGTCAAACTAACCACCTTGGAAGATCGCACGGAATTGAGGAAAATTCTGTAAAAAAAATTCAGTCATCATTTGAAAAACGGTTTTACAAAGTTCTTAGAAAGAACCGGCTTCCAAAAGTTTACTTCCCATAATTTTGCCCAACCTTAAAAGTTCAAGACAAAATGACCCTACAGCCTAAGACCAAGTGGAATTTTGAGTTTCGGATTCTCTGGTGAGGCTCAGAGTACACGAGTGGATCAGTGCTAGCCACACCCAAGGGCCAACAGACACCACTGCCACATAGCACAGGTAAGGTCTACATCTGCCCCATTGACCAACTGCATCAAGGAGCAATGTGCAACTGTTACAAAGCGAGACTGAATTAGGAATTAACACTTGGATAATGATTTATTTCTCTACTTTGCCCCCTTTATAATAATAATCCTTGCATTTGACATGGTGCGTTTCGTGTCGGGAGGCATCTCAAAGTGCTTCACAGCCTAACGTATGCTGGAAAGTGTAACGACTGTATAACTTGTAGGGTAATGGAACCTTGCTGCTCCCCGGCTGAAGAGACAAGCCGGCTTCAGCCACAACAAAGAGTTTGAAAGTAAAAGCCACTGGGATGGCGGCTCAAGAGGCCACAGAATAAAAAACAAGAGTTAAATACTAACGGAAGAAAATGAAGAGGGTATTATTAGGTGCACTATTTGGTCCCGTTTGGTCACCACAAGCCTCGCAAATCTCCAGGCAACACTTACCCTGAGGGAGGCCATCCCAGACCTCCAGACGGTCATATCTGCAGTCTGTTGGTCCTATCTGTAGTGGGTCATACTCCAGGTCAAAGGTCAGGATCTTGAGGGTCACCTCTGACCTTGGCGGTGCCATAATGATGTAGGTGCAGTCCAGATTGTGAGGGTATTTGTCAGGAAACCCTGGCGACTTGATGGTACCAAATGAGCCAGTGAAGTTCATGGAGCAATCTTCAGACCCTGTGACATACAATAGAAACCAAGTCAGAACTTCACTGTAATCAACTCAGAGCAACCGTGACAGTCCCCCAGAGGAGGAAACACTGCTTTTCACACTATAACTGTATCAGTCCTGCCCAACCCCAAAGAACAATAGGACATTGTGGCCGTCGTAATGCAGGTCTTTACTGAGCAGCTGATGTACAAAGACCCTTTTTGCACTGGGTGACCCGTTGCTAGATGACACCAAGCTCTCTGTATGTTGTTGGATTTCCCATCCAAACTTTAATTTTGGCATAAAACCAGCAGTTTCTCCCTAAGAATGGTTTATGACTTTAATTCAGTTCAGTTATAATTATTTACTTTTTGCTGGGGATTTTGCCATGAGCAATAATAACAACAATTCCTTGCATTTGATACTCCAGGATCCTCCAAGTTACTACCCTGAGTGACACACGAAATAGCCCATCAGACTGCAGGGCTGGTGCTCAATATCCCCGTTCCCATACGGTAAATAAATCATTCTGTCCAACCTAGCCTCCTGCTCACACGTATCTCACAGCCACGCTGACACATCTGTCATATGGTCTCCAATATCACTGTCACTGACTCGTGTAAGTGTCTTGAGGATTGTCGCATGAAAATCAAGTTGCAAATGCAATAAATGCCGGCTTAGACTTGGTGTTAAGGGAAGTAACATGATCTCCAGAAGTTCCAATGGCTTTCGAAACCTGCTAAAGTTCCCAGCTCGAGGCTTTACACCCATTCGGCAAACCCTCCGACTGCAGTAAAGCTCTGACCTAATCGGCTGGCAAGTCATTCCTCATCATTTTAGAGCCGTGAAGCTGCCTGATCCTCACGCTCGGTCCCACACCCAGTTGTGCTTATTCACCTGATACTGAAACTGAAAATGCATTCCCAACTCAACATTGGTCATTGCAATTGCTACCTTGTCCCTTGGCTGAATGATGCCTCCAAGCCCGAACTACTCTGGTTATTTCAGCATTTATTATCTAAATAAGATCATTTTGAGAGTCAAAAGGAAACAAAAAGAAAATTGTTGAAGATAAATCAAAAGAACTGCTACTGTCTGTTTCTTTGCCATTCAATAGAGTTGAAAGGAGAAAATCCTGTTTCTCCTGCAGGATTAAAGGTTGGCTAGAGTTAGCCAATGGATCGAGTTACAAGCCCATGTTTGAAAGTTACAAGGAGCTCCAGTGCTTCACACGCGGATGATGTCTCAGTGAATCGGTTTGCTTCGCTACAGCTTTACATTTGAAATAAACATCTTAATATTTCTGGACGCCTCCCTGTCGGCAAAGCCTAAACACAGAAATGCCGGCGCTGTATCAGGTGGGCCACAAATCATCCAGCGCCCTTTCAAATCTTACTTTCTCTGATAAATAAACACCGGCTCAATTCCTGGCTCGGCTTCAACTATTAAACAAATATATGGTGAGCAATACTTAGTGTTCTGTAAACTCTGCAAGCCACTTCAGTCTGCTGTTGTGATTCAGGACAGAGCTCAAAGGCATGGCTTTCTGAGGGAGCCACCGTTCGCCTCTAGCTTTGTGAATAGACAAGACTTTCAAATCAGGTCAAATCTAGCAATGATTTTTCTTTTTCTGTTGTTCACTCAGAAGCTCATCCTGCCCTCAGCTACCTCCTCCTCATCCCTACTGCCCTGTGTACCCTCTAGCAGCTCAAAGTGCAGTATACTGACTTGGAAGTGACAATACACAACCAACAGATAGAAAAATGGTGAGATTTCATGCCCATAAACTGCTGCAAGTGGCCATCAGAGGCTGTTCAGTGCTCTAAGGTTCCCACCTCCATACATCACCAACAGCTTGTGACTTTTGTCACTGAATAACAAACAGGGACTCAGCTCTCTTCCCCCTTCTCCCCCCAATCCAGCTCCAGCCTTCGCCACCCCATCTGATACCAATTCTCCCCCAGTGACCTCCAGCATGTTGATACATCCATATTCTGGCTTGTTACATCTTTGGGACATGTCATTGAACATGTGCTGGAGAAGGTATACAATATAATAATAATCCTTGCATTTGATATAGTGCCTTATCACATAGTTGAGACACCGCAAAGCGCTTCACAGAATATATTGTAAAGTGGAGTGACTGGCGTATCTTGGGTGTGATACTGACCTGTGCGGAAAATCTCATACCGCAGGGAGAAGCCCGCCCCCTGGTGAGCGTAGTCAGACACAAACTTGATGTAAAGCATGGGGCCCGAGGAGATGATGGAAGATGGGGCAATGTTGCCGCAGTGTTTGCCCAGCAGGTCTGCGCTCGTCCTTTCTCCGTCCCGGATTTCAATGAAGTCATACCTGAGGCAGAACAGAGAGGATTGAGCAAGACAACAAAAGTCGAGACAATTCATTGCACTGGCCTATTCACCCCGACTCCCTGGCAAACATATTCTCTTTTTGTGCATTTAGCAGCAAACTGACTCCCATCAAGCCATTTCTTTCCACAGGCTTCCCCTCCCGTATCTCAGGTAATAAAGTCAGCATCTGGAGTAGTACGGAGTCACAGACAGACCATGGAAATGTCAGGTTTGATTACAGCTTTGTGCTGGTTTCCCTGATCTCATGCCCACCAGCAGTGGGCAGCTACAAATGGACTCACCTCCCCCCGCCCCGGAATGTGTATGCGTCTGTTGTATTGTTTCTGTCTGTGTGCCTACATGTGCACCTGTCTTTTGTGCGTGTGTGTGTCTGCCTTGTGCCCGTCTTGTGTGAGTATGAGTGAGGGAGAGAGAGGGTGAGAGTAAAAGTCCTGTTGTATTTGTGTTTATCTGTCTTGTACCTTGTGTGTATGAGAGTGAGAACGAGTGAGTGAGTGAAAGTGAGAGAGTGAGAGAGTGAGTGTGAGAGAGTGTGAGAGGGAGGGTGAGAGTGAGTGAGTGACAGCGAGTGAGTGACAGCGAGTGAGTGAGTGAGTGGCAGTGAGTGAGTGAGTGAGTGAGGGAGGGAGGGAGGGAGGGAGGGAGGTCATCAGGTGAGGAAATAACTGAGATCAATTGATGGCCACCATTGTTGAATGGCCTACCCTAACTCACTTGGCTCAAACATAAAGCTGCTTAGGCAAATAACCAAATGCCAGTTGGCATATGTACCACAGTGTGAATCGGCAACTTCGGAGAGGAGAGGAGAGAGAAAGGGAGAAAATTGAAACGGAAAAAACTGTTATTTTCCACAAAGTAATAACTGACCGGCATTTTACAGGAGCACGTTTCAAATTCAGAACTGCTTTCCCGTGTGTCTGAAGGCAATTACTGCTCTGGTGAAACACCAATGGAGCACATTCACCTGTGCTGTGGGGGGAATAGGGACAGGCAGTCCATGGCAAGTCAAGTCTTTTAATCTGCTCGGTGTTGGATTAGAACAATGAACATTAATTCCTTGCCACGTCTCTACTCCGAGGCCTGGGGGGTTAGCAGTGGCTGTCTCCACAGATGGCAGTCTCCAGTGTAAATGTGCCACGTGATGACATTTACACTGTGGTTAATGACCCCCGATATCATTACTCGGTTTGAGTAGAAAATATCCAGCAGCTACCAGCGCACACAGTGCAACATTAATAAAACTATAGTCTTTCCTTTAAACGACAGCAAGGGCTTGTTGTTCCTTTATACGGAGTGTCAGATTGCTTTTAGGTTGCTACATGTAAGAAAACTCTGCTGCCCCTCCACAGGAGATATAACTGTCCCGGGGAACAGTGAGAGAGGATCAATGACTTGGTCACCTCCAATCAGCTGTACCTGGGCAGAGTGAGTCTGGGGCAGCCTCACCAACCGGTCAGTAATGTACGAGGGTAAAGGATAGGAGAATGAGGGAGGGAGGGAGGGAGGGAGGGAGAGAGTAAAACAAATAAAGAGGAACAAAAGGATGAAGAACAAACATGTGACCAGCCCCAGGTAAATAGCCATTGAGGAGGATTTCAGAGCTCACAACTACAACAAATTATATTTGTAAAGTATCTTTCACATCGGGATGATGTCCCAAGTCACAGGACAGTGAAGGATTTGCACCCACGCTGAGGGCTGGGATCAGAAGGGGTTGGAGAGCAGGGAGGGTGGGCGTAGAGGGTGATCCAAGGCACGTTTGAAGAGGAAGGTCTCGAGACGGGCCTTGAAGGAGGCGAGACGAAGAGACGGGAGAGATTCACAGAAAAAATCGAAAAGGTTGGTGGGGGGTGGTGAGGGTGCCTCAATCCTCGGCTTTAGAACGCTACAGAAACTAGACGGAAGCAGGCGACTCGATTTTGGCATCAAGAGAGAACTGAATTATAAGGCACTAGTTTAAAAATAACCATAATAATCACGACAACTGCTGAAGCACCTTATCACGTCATCAAAACGTCTGAAATGCTTCACAGGATATACTGTAAATGAAAAGACCTGAAGTGGAAGTGGCGATCAGAAGAACCTACTCTTTGAATAGTAGTAGTGAAAAGCAGCTAATGAAATACCGCGTTCATTAACGCCTTTTTTAAAAAAAATGTGTACTTAAGCCTGGCGAGAGCGGCAGCTCAGTGTTACAACCCCGGCTCACTCATCTGTGCGCATCATTTAAAAGAAAAACTCGTCCGTCCAATTACGCAAGCTCAGCCCAGCAGCCAGGCTGCTGGGGGTCACCCGCAGACCGGCACCTCTCAACAGGCTCATTATTCCCATGTAAAACCTGATCTTTCCCTCGGTGCTCTCTGCTGCTCCCTCGGTCAGGCTTAGCTGCTGAACGGACAATTATAAGTACAAACATTTGCAAATTGGATTTTTTTTATTTTAGAATGTTATCCGAATGTCACATTCTCTGTGAAACACAGTAAACTCCGGGTGACTAGTTACTCCCGAGAGGAAAGGGATCCGTGACGAGATATCAGGAGTGGCGAGTTAGGCACATGTATGAATACGTAAATAAATGGGGCAGAAATATTGACTTAAGTAGCAGTGACAAGATAACAAAAATAATAATCCTTGCATTTGATATAGCGGCTCATCACATTGGTGAGACGTCTCAAAGCGCTTCACAGAATATATTGTAAAGTGGATTGACTGTAAATTTTGTGGGCAAATAGCGGCAGCCATTTAATTAAGTGAACAAATTAACTTTCTTTCTTTTGGAGGGAGAAAACGATCCACCAATCGACTAACAACCGGATTCCTCCTTACTGCCAGATAAATAGAGGCGCGAGGAGTAAGGAAACTTGCATAAGATTTTGCCCCTGGGTCCTCTCACTTGCGAGGCAAGCGCCATAACCACTGAGCTACGGCATTACATATCAGAGTTGAGTTATCAGGAGTTTACTGTAGTAATTTATCAGGACTGGACGACTCAGATCCAGCTACGAGGGTGACTGCAGGCAAATGCAGGAATTTAAGTACAACCCAAAAGTATCGGCTGGTGAAGAGCATTGAACCGTTGATAATAGTCTTTACATTTGATATAGCACTTTACCATGTCATCGAGATATCTCAAAAATGTTACTGTGTATTTTGTAGGAAAGCACAGCAGACAACTTGCACGTAGCAATGTTCCACAAAGAGCCAAAGAGCGACAGAACTGCATTGTTACTGAGTCAAATTGAAAACAAAGCCTGATGCACTAAGTATTTAATGTATCTGGAAATATAAATGTAAACTGCAATGTTTAAACTGCAATAAATATCACTTCAGCCTCTCGTTTTTATTGAGCATGCGCAAGATGCCACCATACTCCAATCAACTGGTTGGAGACCCCTGGTCTAGACTATGTAAGCTGAAAGTCCCAACTTGGGGCTTGAACCTAGAACCCACTTACTCAGAGGTAAGACTGCTACAGCTGAGCCAGGCTGAAAGCTAAATGAGGCGATAGCAAGGGCCAGGGACCGGCTGAAAGCAGCAGCCATGCTCATCAATGAGGACTAACTACAGACGGTGCACAAGGTCACATTCAGGAGCCCAGAGATGGATGGGCTCTGCCTCCATCAGGGAGAGAAAAGCTGTGTAATACAACAAGATAACAACAACAAGATTCCATTTATTAAGTGCCTTTCACGTCAGGAGGACGTCCCAATAATAGACACGAGCGTAGGCGAAGGAGCCAAAAAGTGTAAGACGTCACGTTATGAGCTACAGTACTGCATCGCAGAACAGAGCCAGCAGGTGCTTTCAGTAATAAATTAGCTGCAGCTACACTGGCGTACACAGCTCTGCACTGTGACACCTTTTTGAAATCATTAGCGATTGTCACGGTTTCACACCATCTCTCTCGCTCTTCCTCCTCCTCCTCCCCCCACCCCTTCCCCCCCCCCCCCCAGGCTGTTGTAGCTGTTAAACCTCAGCTGTGATGACAGCAGTGCGCTGAACCTCAAACTAATCCTGTAGCAGGCACGTGGAGCCAGAGACACTGCGGAGTTTCCTCCGCTGAACTGACTGAACGTCTCCAAGGCAACAGGTTTGCAGCCGGGCGGTTCTGTGGACCCGGTTGTGATGGCAGTGAGTTCCTTCTAGCGGGAGGGTGGATTCAGGCAGGGCAAGGAAAATCGAGAAGATAACAAGAAAGGAAATGAATCCCCCTCCTCCGCCCATAAACTAACAGATTCTAAACCAGCTCTCCCACCCCCCCTCCCAATCAGTACCATGCTCCCGTTCTACTCAGCCCAATATCCAAGAGACGCGAGTTCAGTATTTTCAGAACTGTTGAACGGAATTACTTTTTGACCTGCAATTTGACCGCTGCAGCCACTCAATCCACTCAGCGAACATCCACTTGTCCCCTGCCCTGCTCTCAAGACATTCTGCCCCCGCTCTCTGGAACTCCATCCCGGAGCCCCTCCACCTCACCCTCTCCCTCCCCCACATTCAAACCTCGTCTTAAGACCTTTCTTTTTGACTGTGCTTTTGGTCCTTACAGTCTATTCTGTGAAGCGCTTTGAGACGTCTAGAAGACATGAAAAGCGCTATATCAAATGCAAGGATTATTATTATTATCTATCTTTCCCCACCTCCAGCTTAGGCTCCCAGCCAGCTCCATGAAGCACTTGGAGAGAGAGGTCCTCCCAATGTCAAAGGCGCTTTGCAAATGTAAAGTTCTTGTTTGTGCGTATGTGTGGGGGGGCGCGGAGGGAGAGGTGGGGGCTGCAAAAGTTTGCTTTGATATTCAGGTAGCAAAGTGCACTGTGTAAGATGTTAAGAACCCTGCTGGCCAGAGAAAGGTCACTTCTGCAAGAATTGTGCATACGGTTTGTCAGGTGCCGGACAATTCAGGCACCTGCAAAGCCTGCATCACCTCCCACCCTCACAGAACAGCATTTCCACTGGGTCTTTGGCTACAACTTTTAACCTTATTTTTCAACCTTGACCCTCAGTTGACTTGCCCCTGTATGGAATCACTACTTAGGTGCTGCCTGAATCCCTGCGTCGGTAAATTAAAGCTACTTAATTTACTCTACTTAAATCCTGACTTACCCTCTGAAACATTCAGAATTTTATTTTAGTTTCCCGATCGCCAGCATCCAAACAACAAGGAGACGGCTCTGAAATAATCATGGGATTTTGCTTCCCCCGCACCACCCCAACCCTTCCTTTGCTTCTGTTAAAGAGACGTTGGAAGATAAATAAGTCAGAAAGCAGCTGGTTAAATTTCAAGTAAACTGTAGGAACCCAGGACTGTACACAAGCAGGAAAAGAGACCACTGTGCGCTCTGTCCCAAATTACCATACAATGCTGCAATCAGGCAATCAATTACACAGTGACACGCAGCGAGTTGCGAAATGTATGCAGACCGCATGGTGTTATGAGCTTTCATACTGATGGTCCTGGGAATGTGATCCAAGGGTGTAATTGCACACCTTGGCCAGTAGAGGGAAACACAACTAATGTTGAGACGCCATAAAGTTAATAATCGTTGCATTCGATCCACCTCCGAATCACGTCGTTGTGATGTCTCATAGTCCTTCAAGCCATGTACTGTAGTACCTGTGTATTTGTAATAATAACAATGGTCCTTTGATATAGTGCCTTATCATGTTGTCAAGACATCTCAAAGGTCACTGGTGTGACTGTATTTTGTGAGCAAATGCAGCAGCCAATTTGCATACAGCGCATAAAGTTACATAAACAGCCACAAAGTGAATGACGTCTCATAGTCCTTCAAGCCATGTACTGTAGTACCTGTGTATTTAATAATAATAATGATCCTTTGATATAGTGCCTTATTATGTTGTCAAGACATCTCAAAGGTTACCGGTGTGACTGTATTTTGTGGGCAAATGCAGCAGCCAATTTGCATACAGCGCATAAAGTTACATAAACAGCCACAAAGTGAATGACGTCTCATAGTCCTTCAAGCCATGTACTGTAGTACCTGTGTATTTGTAATAATAACAATGATCCTTTGATATAGTGCCTTATTATGTTGTCAAGACATCTCACAAAGGTTACTGGTGTGACTGTATTTTGTGGGCAAATGCAGCAGTCAATTTGCAATACAGCGCATAAAGTTACATAAACAGCCACAAAGTGAATGATCAATTTTATCTGGGGGATTATTGGAAAGAACACCGGGAGGAACTCCCTTGTCTTCCAAGTATTGCTGCAGGATATTTAACATCCACCTGAACGGCAGATGGGACCTTGGAATAATATCTCATCTGAAGGAAGCCATGCAATGAGAGGGAGAGGCCCATGGATGTTTTGCCAACTTTTTATTGAAACAGAAATACGTTTACTTTCCATCAAGTGAAGCTCGCTGAGATGGAGAGAGAGGGACAGAACGGATTTAAGTGTTTTTCAGGCTGCAAGTACAAGCAGTACATTTCCTGCCTCGGACTGAGTCCAGCACTTACTGTGTGTAAAGGTGATTTGGAAGAAACTTTGTTAAAGAGAGAAAGGAAGGTTAAGAGGAGGAGAAGGTGGTGGTGGGGGGGTGGTTGGGGTAGATTTTCCCTGCTGGTTCTTGCTCAGCACAAAGTGAAGGATCAAGCTTGCAAATTGTGCAAGTTGCTTCTGCCCAGCAATGCGTAAACCTGCTCAGAAAACACTGTTCAGACCTAAGTCGCACGATCAGAGAAGAATCTTTGGGGCTTGGTGAGTCTTGTATGAGGTTTTTTTTAATTGAAAAGCAAGAGCTTTGTAAACTCTCAACAGTCTTAAAAACACAGTCTCTACACTGCAGCAAATTCTATGTTGAAGTTGGAGGTGCCCTCCTGATATTGAAAGGCTCCATATCAACTGTAAGGATTATTATCTTCAAGTGATAATTATGCTCTAAAAACTAAAGTAGTCAGGGGTTCAAATCATCTCTCACTAACTTTCCTCTGTAACGCATGTCTACAAAGTACACAATAAACTTTTGAGACGTCCTCCCGGCACAAAAGGCACAACATCAAATGCAAATATTATCGAAAGGATTATCTGACTATACATGGACTCTGGCTGGACACTCGCCTCTAACCCTAAGCAAGAGTCTGTATTCTTGCCAAACACACCTGGGTGAGGTGTGAGAGAGCCTGTGAATTAGCCAGTACTGCTCAGCCAGTACTGTTAAGTGCTTTGGGGCGTCTTCCCGACATGAAAGACGCTATATAAATGTAAATATATATTGCACTGTAACTGCCTGTGAGCTGAGCTACTGCTTTAAAGAGAAAAAAAGGATTGTTTTTTTTCACAAAGTATAATGTTGGCCACTTTCCCCTGGTACTGCCAGTATGGGAGTGAATCTGAGCTGTAAAGACAGTTCCCAGGTTCGACCGCTCATCTGTACCACATTGATCGGGTTTCAATGTAGGTGATACTTTACACGTTATAACTGGTCTCAAAGCAGGGTTCTCGTGCTCCCCGTCGCTCTCCAGCCTAAGGCCGGCACAGGAGAGAAAGTTATTGTCGGTTGGGATTTCCCAACTCACAAAGGAAGAATGGTGACTTGGATGAGATGCCTGTAGGGGTGCTTGATGTCCACAGGGCTGCAGCCCAACAAATGTCAGTGGCTTTTAGAATCAAGTAGGGTAGAAGAATGGGGGGGTGGGGTAGGGGTGAGAAAGGGTACCCACAATGCCTATAACATATCATTTAAATACCTGGGAATACACCACAACACATCAGACACCAATATCAGACACAGTGGCTATTACCTGCAGTCATATTTTTCTAGCTCAAAGTGCGGGTTGAAGTTCAATAAGATCCTCTGGTTGGGCTCGGGAGCGTAGATGACCCACTCGCACCGCTGGTGTGGGCTGTAATCCTGCGGGTATCCGGGCGACGTGATGTAACCGGCCTCTTTGGCATTTAAATGCTCCCCGCATGGTTCCTCTGTTGTAATAGAAACAACAGTCAATACCCTCTCACTGAGAAAGGCTCAGACGGATGCTTGGTCTTAGTTACAATAGGAAAACATTAAGAGTAAACAGGGAGAGATAGAAAGTGGGATGCATCATTTGAACACATGGTGATTTAGGAAAAACTGGCAGCAGCGGCACAAATGGCCACATTTCTGTACAAAGAACATTTGTTTCTAAAAGCAGGTATGGGAACAGCAACTGAATTCTGCAGTGCAGAGTCTAGGTGCAGTGTCAGGGGTGCACTGCATTGTTAAGAGGTGCTTTTGGATGAGACGTTCAACTGTGGTCCTGCCTGTCTGTTCAGGTGGATGTTAAAAGATCCCGTGGCACTAATCGAAAAGCGATGGGAGTTATTCCCTGTGTCTGGGCCAAAAATCTCCCGAAATTGATCACTCGCTTGCTGGCTGGTTATGGAACATTGCTGCATGCAAATTGGCTGCTACGTTCACCTACAAAAAAAACAGTAACTACACTTCACAGTAACACCCATTAAGTGTTTTGAGACATCATGATGATGATGATGCGCTATATCAAATACAAGGATTACTTAAGACAGATATAACTTCATCAAATCACGACAACAATAGGGAGTACAATGGGTTTCCTTCAAGTTCCGCAGCCGGGGCAGCTCAAGGACTGGAAATCCACACAAGGGTATCTTAGAGGAAAGGGACCTTCCCTCACAGTCTTGATGAGATATTAAACCAAAGTTCCATCTGCCTGCTCGGGTTAAAGGTTTCGTAGCTCTACTAAAAAAGAAATGGGAGTTTCTCTCTGTATCCTGGCCAACGACCCACCAAATTAAGAACTTTGATATGTGCAAAATAGCTGTTGCATTTGTCTATAAAAACAAACGGCACTATGATTGGCAACAATCACTGAAAAGCACTTTGAAATGTTTCCAATGTGATGGGGCTCTGTAAAAAATTTAAATTTTCTTACTTCATCCATTTACTTACTGAACCAGCGGGATAGACTCTATGCAGAGAAAGGGGACTTTGCTTTGGGACTGAACCGATGAACGTAAGCCGGAAATAAACCATCAACTGGACAATGGGAAGGTTCCCTGTGCTGGTGAGGTGCCTCCAGCCAGGCAGCAGACAGAGACATCTCAGTACTGCCAGTTAGCCATGAGAGAACATGTAGGAAGAACATGTCTGTAGGAAGCTCAGAGTGCGTGTAGTTATCAGCCCACCTCTGTGTTAATTCTGCGGAGAGAATTAACCTGTTAAAAGATCTGGTCTCGATTGCTTTCTCGAAGCCTGTTCTCTCAAGTTTATAATTAAAAAGACACATTTCCTTAAAGTGCAGCAGACACTCTCCATTTCCACTCTCCAAAGTGTTCACTTTTGCAAACAATCCTTTCAATGCAAGTCCAAATGTGCCAGTGTTAACACCTCATTATTCACTAGTAGCAGCAGTGCATAAATGTCACACCTTTTATGTCCTTTTAAAGGTGTGGGGTTGCCACGGGAGACGCTCATGCAAAGCTTGCTCCCCCCCACCCCCCACCCCCCGTCTGTGTGTGTGTGTGTGTACGCGCGGGTGTGGGCGTGCACAGAGGATGCTGCAGGGATGCAGTGTGCAAAGCAGCAGCGCCACCGTCTCGCCAATCACGTCCGACAGCCATGACTTTATTGTTGTGATTTTTCCCCCATGAGCTGCGCTAACCAAATCTGTTAATGTTAAATGTTTGCACATTTCCTGGTTGGACACCAGCACAGACTACACAGACTCCTGCAGGAAATCCCCATTGTAAAGTTGGGAATGAAAGAAAAGCAACCAGTGCAAATTAACTCCTGCCTTCCCTTTCTCTCCCTCCCACCCCCCCCATAAACCTCTTTAAGGAATTACTTGTAAAAACAATAACAACATTACATTTGTATAGCGCCTTTCAAGGGGTTTTGGACAGAGTTAGGATAGCGCACCCCAAACCTGGCTAGTTCTACTGCTCCGGGCGCTCTCTCAGGCATGACAGATAAGGGTAGGCAGCCTGTCCTACCTGTTCTCTGGATCCATAGTGCGTGGGAAATGAGCCCAGGCTCATATGTGGGGTTGGGAGAAGGGCGTTTTCCATTTAGCTCCATCAATTAGCCCGGGAAACAGTTTGCCCACAGTGGCAGATTGTGTGAGCAGTTTCGAGAGAAAATTGGGTACAGTTTTTGACGGTGAATGGGAAAGGGATCAAGGATAGGCAGAGATATAAGGATACAGTATTGGAACCAGTCAGGTGGACTGCAGTGATCTTTTAAGGTTCTGTACATATCTACATTCCTAGGACTGCAGGAAAGTATAGCCAGGTCAGCAAATCCCCCTCGGTTGGTCCACCGCCAACAGGACAGCTCTTGGATACAACTCTCAGCTTGTGGTGGTGTCTCATCTACACTGTTGGAGCCAGCGGAGAGGAAGCATAACTCTGCAGCTAACATGTGCTCTTCCTTACTTAAGCATACTTGAGGGAGCGGGGAATCAAGGGGTGTGGGAGAGGAGAATGAAGGGATGGAGACTCGTGTGAAGTATAATCACCAGCATGGACAAGTTAGATCAAAAACAGCCAATTTCCGTGCTGTAACTCTATGACAGCGCTCCGAGACACTATCCTGTGTGAAGGGTGCTCCATAAAGCACTTGTTGCCTTGAGAATTGCCTTGGTGAATATGGGGTGGGGGGGGAGAGAACAAGTACAGAAATATGTTCCCATCTCTCGCTTCACGAGCAATAAATAAAATAGGAGAAAATCTCTCCAGAAACTAAACAAAAGGTAAAATCGCCTTTTGAAAAGGCCATTGTTTTCAGGAAGCTCTGCAATCGACGAGATAGCGATTTATTCAGGGACTGGGAGATTGTGCCCATCTTAGCTGAATGCAGAGAGACCTATCTGTGCATCAGTTATCTAGATAAGAACTGACTGATGACAGGAAGCATTCATGTGATGAACAGCGCCCTTTCACCACATAAAAGGCTCCTGTCCTCAGTCAGTTCCCTTGTCCACGTACCTGATCCAGAGATAAGGTCTCTAGTATTTGCACGGGGACAGTTCATGCGGGAGGGACATGATGTACTGGTTAACTAAACCTAAGCACTTTGATGGAGCCTTAAACCCTCAGTCTTGGTTGACAAACTCTGGATTAAGGCTACGATTTTCCCCCCTCCCACTCACTCTATAATTCCTAGCGCCCAACTGGGCAAAATCCTGGGAGCAGAAACACGTCCTCTGCCGCTCAGCTATGGTTCAAACTTGACGATGATGCTCTCCACAATCAAATATTCTTGCCAAGACTGCCTCAGGTTATAGACATACAGTACAAGTTGGTGACTGTCCTATTGTATGTAACATACACAGGCTGGCCGCTGTCTTAGTGTATATAACACATGGGCTGGTCACTGCCACAGTGTGTATAACACTATGTCTTTTCCCTGCTTGTTTTTCCACTGATCCGCAGACTGTGTGAAGCACTGCCTCTCTGATGCCAGTTCCTCCTGGCTATGCAAAACAGACAACAAACAATGTGACGGGAAAAGCAGGCATTGCCCAGCTCGGCTAATTCTTTCAGAAAAGTGGTGGGCGCTGCACCAGGCGAGGGAAGGATGGGCCAGCAGACTGGCTGCTGGGTGTTTGTGAAAGAAAACAACGGCACGTTAACAGTGATTTATCGTTCTTCATGTGTGCACAGTGCAAACAAAATCATCGGCTAAATTTTAATACTCATCAGGTTCCAGATCGTAAATAACAATTGTGTACATCGTCTGGGCTGCTGATGCAGCGTATTTCCCTCATGTGACCGTCACTGTACAGTCACAGCATCTGGAAAGCATGTCTATTTATAAAGTCCTCAAAGGAAACGCCAGCTCCATCATTTCAGAAATGTACATAACTCATCCCAGAAGTCGAGCTACTGCACATTACTCATCTGTGGCTCGCCCATCATCAGCAGAGTCCCGGGACTGCTGCTTGTTATTACTCATGCCTGCTTATGAAAGGGGAAGGAAGCTTTGCTTTAGAGGAACATTTTTGCCGCTAGCAGAGAACTCACTGCTCAGAGAAGCCCACTGCCACAGGCGTCAGTTTGAGTCAGTCAGCAGCACACAAGCCCCAGAGGGTCAGAGGTTGTGAATTTAAACCTTGCAATGGGACTTAAGCTCGTAATCGCAGTCCCGGGCAGCAATGCAGTAGAGTAGGTACCGTGCCCCAGAGTAGAATTTTAACGGAGCTCACATCAGCCGTATTTTCAGACGGACAAAGAAGTTCCTGTGCAACACTTCTCAAGACGTTTTGATACTGCTTGACTGGCACCGGCCACTTGCTTGTCCCTCGCACCCTCTCCCCCACCATTGGAGGTCGCGCTTTCAGCCACTACACCTCAAAACTGTGGATCACTTTCCCTCAATCCCTCCGCCTTGCCCCCTCTCACCCCTTTTCCAAATCCTGCCTGAAAACCTTCCTTTCCGACCGTGCTTATGATCACCTCCCCCTCCCCCTGGCTCGGAGTTAGACTTCGCCACTGTTAAGCGCTCTGATACGCTACCCTTCGTGGAGGACGCTACATAAGTGCAAGTTATAGGTGAGGGGCATCTTTCTTCTGCAATTGTATCTCAACAGCGAGGGGGTCAAAATTGAGGTGTGAGGAGCCAGTTCCACAGAAAAGGAAAGGGAGAAAAGTACTGAAGGGAAAACACAAACGCCAAACCCTGCTCGAAGTTACTAAGACTCGGACACAACACATTAGGTAAGTACATGGACAACTAAGTCCTCCTGGAATTGACACAAGTGATGCCCTCTACTGGACACCTATTGTTATTTCAGTATAAACACACAGCATGATGGGCAGCGCTCTGCTGTTCAATTCAAACTGCAATCAGGTTTTTTCAAAATCCTAGTTTCCTGGTTTATCCTCTCAAACAACCAGAGGTGAATTCTGAGATTTCATCACCAGTCAAGCAAACTCCGCAGAGCCTCCATCCTCCTGTGAGC